AAGTGACAAAAGCATGGATTAGCTTTTCTACATAATTTCTGGACAAAAAGTTTCAGAATTTTGCAATGTTACGAAGATGGAAAAAGGCTGCTCTTGAAATATGTTTTATATGTTCGTCAAAACAGAGATCATGCTGGCATTAAGACCAACGAGCTGTACAGGGCCATAAGCAAACAAGAAAACGCTCATCCAGAGACGGTGCTCCTAGTGACCGGTAATATGAATGCAGGAAAACTGAAATCCGTTTTACCTCATTTCTACCAGCATGTCACCTGTGCAACTAGAGGCAAAAAAAACTCTAGATCACCTTTACTCCACACAGAGACGCATACAAAGCTCTCCCTCGCCCTCATTTAGGCAAATCTGACCATAACTCTATCCTCCTGATTCCTGCTTGCAAGCAAAAACTCAAACAGGACGCACTCAATACTGAAGTGGTCCGATGAAGCAGATGCTAAGCTACAGGACTGTTTCGCTAGCACAGACTGGAACATGTTCTGAGACTCATCCGATGGCATTGAGGAGTTTACCATATCAGTCAGCAGCTTGATTACAGGCAACATCCGCACTGAGCTAAAGGTTAGAACTGCCGCTTTCAAGGAGCAGGACACTAATCTGGACAATAAATCTCGCTACGCCCTCCGACTAACCATCAAACAGGCAAAGCATCAAGACAGGACTAAGATCAAATCCTACTACACCGGCTCTGATGCTTGTCAGATGTGGCAGGACTTGCAAACTATCACGGATTACACACGGAAACCCAGTGACGTGAGCCTACCAGACGAGCTAAAAGCCTTCTATGCTCGCGTCGAGACAAGCAACACTGAACCATACGTGAGAGCACACGCTGTTCCGGACGACTGTGTGATCACACTCTCCGTAGCCGATGTGAGTAAGACCTTTAAACAGGTCAACATTCACAATGTCACAGGGCCAACGGATTACCTGGATGAGTACGCATAGCATGCGCTGACCAGCTGGCAAGTGTCTTCATTTACATTTTCAACCTCTCCTTGACCCAGTCTGTAATACCTACATGTTTCAAGCAGACACAATGGTAGTTTGCCTGATCACCCACGATGATGAGACAGCCTATAGGGAGTAGGTCAGAGACCTGGCAGTGTGGTTAGACAGAGGGGTTTATCGTGGACTACAGGAAACGAGGGCCGAGCACGCCCCCATTCACATCGACGGAGCTATAGTGGAGCGGATCGAGAGCTTCAAGTTCCATGGTGTTCACATCACTAAGGATCTATCATGGTCTAAACACACCAACACAGTCTCTTCCCCCTCAGGAGGTTGAAAAGATTGGCATGGGCCCTCTGATCCTCAAAAAGTTCTACAGCTACACCATTGAGAGTATCTTGGCTGCATCACCGCCTGGTATAGCAACTGCTTGGCATCCGACCGCAAGGTGCTACAGAGGGTAGTGCGTACAGCCCAGTACATCACTGGGGTCGAGCTCCCTGCCATCCAGGACCTCTATACCAGGCGGTATCAGAGGAAGGCCCTAAAAATTGTCGAAGACTCCAGCCACCCAAGTCATAGACTGTTCTCTCTGCTACCACACGGCAAGCGGTACCGATGCACCAAGTCTGGAACCAGCAGGACCCTGAACAGTTTATACCCCCAAGCCATAAGAGTGCTAAATAGTTAGTTAAATAGTTAATTAACCAAATAGCTACCTGGACTATCTACATTGACCCTTTTTGCGCTAACCTTTGTCACCACATACACTGCTGCTGCTGTTTACTATCTGTCACTTTAATTCCTAGTTACTGTATATGTACGTACAGCATATACCTCCGTTACCTCGTACTCCTGCACATGGACTCGGTACTGGTACCCGTGTATATAGCCAAGATATCGTTACTCATTGTGTTTTACTTTTCTATTATTTCTCTATTTTCTTTCTCTGCATTGTTGGTAAGGGCCTATAAGTAAGAATTTCACTGTTAGTCCACACCTGTTGTTTACGAAGCATGTGACAAATGAAATTGTATTTAATTTTATTTGACACACACACACAATGCTGAGGTGTGTGTGTACAGGTGTGAGGAGGAGGGTGAAGGGGGGTAACAGTGGTGGGAACTTTCAGTATGTATGTCACCCGTACGGTTTTCGCTCCCCCTAAACCCAAGGTGTAAAAGACAGAGCTGACACTACCATATCTCCACATAGCCCTGTCCACCTGCTCCCCATGGCACCATTTAGAGATGATCTGTGGAGGGACGCGTGTAGACAGCTGTCTCTCTCTCTCTCTCTCTCTCTCTCTCTCTCTCTCTCTCTCTCTCTCTCTCTCTCTCTCTCTCTCTCTCTCTCTCTCTCTCTCTCTCTCTCTCTCTCTCTCTCTCTCTCCTCTCTCTCTCTCTCTCTCTCTCTCTCTCTCTCTCTCTTTCTCTCCCCTTTCTCTTTCTATATCTCTTTCTCTCTCTCTCCATCTATAACAACTATTATAGGTCCGCCAGGGAGAGTGTGTAGAGAATACAGCTAGCCGTCATGAGGCGGCAGTAAGTAGCCGTCATGAAACGACATTAACTAGCCATCATGAAACGACAGCAACTAGCCGTCATGAGGCGGCAGTAAGTAGCCGTCATGAGGTGACTGCAACTCGCACCCTGATGGAAAAATCCCTCTAATATGGCTTCTGTAATTCACAGCCAGGCTCAGCTTACAGAGTCCCTAGGGAGATTGTTTGTGTATGGGACATATTTGGAATGATTGAATGATAATAGCTTTGCTTACTGGCATGGAGAGCATTTGCTGTGGTGTCTGTGATGTGTGTCAGTCAGTCTGTTAGCCAGACAAAACATTTTCCCCATCATCCTGGATGTGTTGGAGACAAAAGGTCAAAGGGCAGGGAAGCTGTTTGGTCAATATTGACCACTTCTTCAACTGTATTATTGCATTTTTGCTTGAATATCAGCATTTCCAGATTTCCAGATTCCAGGCCTGATATGGGATCAGAAAGAAAAATAATTATTCTACAGAAGGTTTACAGCACATAACACTCATAATATGATATAATACAGCGGTCCTCAAACTCAGTCCTGGGGACCACAAACATTTGTTTTTTTGCCCTAGCACTACACAGCTGATTCAAATAATCAACTCATCATCACGCTTTAATTATTTGAATCAGCTGTATAGCGCAAGGGCAAAAAAACGAAATGCGCACCAGAGTTTGGGGAACGCTGACATAATATAGTAACGACATGACAGACGTCCTAACGTCTGATGTAACCTTACGACTACTAACTTTACACTGTCATCATGTGATTATACATTTTAAGAAATCCCTCTGTCTAAAGTTTCAGCTCGGTTCCAAACCTTGTGTCCAAAGCCCTCTAACGCTATATGAAAGAAACTGTAGGCTAGCTAGGCTGGGTGGATAACTTGATGTGGTGGAACAGATGTATAGGCCAACAGTGTGTTTATACAGCTGTTGCAATGTTACCTATTCTCCCAACCTGGCTAGCTGTTTCTAGGAGCCCCAAACCTCTCCTACTTTTCTCCAGCCCAGCTCTAATAGATCTGATTCAACAAATCAACTAATTATGGTCTTCATAATAGATGACTAGCTATATCTTGAATAGCTCAACTTCCATTTTGAGCCCTGTGTCAACTTCTTCACAAAAAACTAGTCTGAGCCAAACATTCCCTTCCTTTCCCCAACCCTGACCACCCATCATTAACCAAATAACGTTTCCCATCAGGTTGACATCTGATCTGTAAACTGTAAGTCTGTAAAACACAGTTATCGCATGCCAACACAGCTGCAGTTGTCTTCTGGTAGATCAAACAAATTGCTTGTTGATAGTGTCTATAGAAACCATCCAAATCATGTCAGACCTGAAAGACGATCCCAGATCTATGACCAGGGTCTGGGAATAGGGACAAGGCTATGGAGATGAGGGGGATTGATGGTTCCCTTCCCCCTATCATTCCTCCAGCCTGGATCACAGCAGCAGCTGCTGTGTTGACGGGAAAGCTAATGTTAAAGAGTCTGTGATCAACAGAGAAGATTGTGCTTATTCTGGTCCAGTGTAGAGGATGGACAAAACAAATGAGTGGGCTCCCTTTACATAATAAAGACCTTGATTCAACCTATTATATGACCAATAAGGACCATGATTGATTGATTGATTGATTTTTTAAAATAATTTATGAATTAATGAGTTCAGAGTTGAAACAAGGACAAGCGTTCACTGCTGTGCACTTCACATTACCATACAATATATTGTATCACCAAGCACACAAGATAGGATAATAATGTTACTGAGATTTTACTACAAAAATACAAAGTGTGTCTCTCTATACAAATAAATATAGCAAAAATTAAGATACCAACATACAATCAATGCTTCACAAGACGCTCAACCTTTTGAAAAGACAGACATTTTTGAATAACTTATTTCTTTATACAGGCTCATAACTTAGAATGGGCTGCGTCTCACTGCATTACGCCAGCCATGGAGAACAACAAGCTATCTCCATGAACGGTTGCTAGGCAGGATGGTCCAATATATTCAAGGTTGTGTGTACAGATAGAGGTCAGAGGTCAGAGGTCAGACTCTCCAGTGGAGTGAAATTATGTCATACCATAATGTCCCTCTCCTGTCTGTGTTCTTCAGAGAGTACAAGCAGAGCTGCTTTGAGAGAATCACAGGTGATATACTGACACAGATAAGGCAGCTCTGTGTGTGTGTGTGTGTGCGTGTGTGTGTGTGCGTGTGCATGCGTGTGCATGTATGTGTGTGCACTTGCGTCCATGTGTGTGTATTATGTTCAGGTCTCCTAGAATGCCCACCGCCTGCCCTCTCTCTTCCCATCTGAATGAGTAGTCTCCAGTCTCCAGTTTCCTGGTCACTTCTGGGGTTCATTTCCCCAAATCATAATGTCTCTGGTCTCTGCCGCCACAAGCTGACTCTAGACCATGTCTTCACTGAGTCGTTGACGTGTGTTTGTTCTGTTGTTGTTGTTGTTGATAGTGTTTATGTTTTGAGTGCGTCCAGCGCCAGAGCGATGATGCGCGGCATGCTACGGTAGAAGGACTCGTTCTCCAGACCCACCAGGCTGTAAAAGGTCAGAGGTCGACCCCCCACCACCGCCTTGACCCGTGCCTCGTACAGACCCCGATCGTTCTTAGAGCTCAGGTCTACTAGCACCTGAGAGGAGGAGGAAGAGAGAGAGAGAGAGAGAGAGAGAGGAGAGAGATAGAGAGCGAGAGAGAGAAAGCGAGAGACAGAGCGAGAGAAGGGGAGAGAGAGAGAGAATGGAACGTTGGTCAACAATACAGGTCATGATGAAACAGTTATACAGTGAAAAGTCAGAGTGGTTTGAGTTGACTTGTCTTTGACATTACATGCCAGGGTTGGGCTCAATTCTGAAGTTTGGAATTGACTCCCATTCAACTCATGAGTTGAAATTAGAATTGAATTTGCCACCACCACAGTATGTAGAATTAGAATTAGAGTTTGAGTGACAGGAAATATAATTTCATTCAGTGCAATTCAAATAAATTCCACTCAGTCATAGAACATGAGAGTTTCATTGAATCTGACAGGTCACACTTCCAGATACCAAAGAATATATCAAATTTCTCTGGAAACAATGTTCATATATTATTTTAACCTTAGTGCTTAGAATAGCCAATTATATTTCCACCAACCATTTTATTGTTTGGCTTCTTTTTGAAGGCCTCAGGGTCAACTTGAGGGTTAAACTAATGCATTCTAGGAAATGTAGTATTTTCCCCATATTGAACAAAATTGAAGTGATTCATGAAATATAATAACTTAGAATATTCGCATACAGGTTTTTTCCCCCTTGATCATTCATTTTAAGAGTTTGTCCTGAAAATCTGTTGTTTCAACAACATAGTATATGCATGTATATAACAACATGTTTGATGTTTTATGTGCAAGATGTACAGTATATTTGTATAGACTACACCTAATATAGGATAGACGAGGCATTTGGATTTCATTTCAATAGCAATTCTGTATCCTGCTCTCAAATTCAAGAATTGAATTGGAATTTATGAGGCATTCTTAATTCAATTCTGAATTGAGCCCAGCCCTGTTATATGCACAATACCAATCCCCACCACAATCTCAATCCCCACTCCAATACCAATCCCCACCCCAATACCAATCCCCACCCCAATCTCAATCTCAATCACAATCACAATCACAATCTCTACATAATATGTCCCTTCTAAATATACCCTGTATTGAAGTGTAGAGTGAAGCTCACCTCCTGGAAGTTCATGTGGAGGTTCTTGGTGGGGATGCCCAGGACCCACTTGTACGTGTCTCTGATTCCACTTACATGCTGGGTAGGCTCTGCTACTCCTGGACAAGCTGTCAAACACACACACACACACATCCAACCTGTTATTATGCTGCTAATATCCAATACTGCTGATGCTAACACATATACAGTACACACATTCTATGAGAGTTTGAGACCTGGGGTTATAGGAGACCTGGGGTTATAGGAGACCTGGGGTTATAGGAGACCTGGGGTTATAGGAGACCTGGGCCTATAGGAGACCTGGGGTTATAGGAGACCTGGGCCTATAGGAGACCTGGGGTTATAGGAGACCTGGGGTTATAGGAGACCTGGGCCTATAGGAGACCTGGGGTTATAGGAGACCTGGGGTTATAGGAGACCTGGGGTTATAGGAGACCTGGGCCTATAGGAGACCTGGGGTTATAGGATACCTGGGCCTATAGGAGACCTGGGGTTATAGGAGACCTGGGGTTATAGGAGACCTGGGGTTATAGGAGACCTGGGCCTATAGGAGACCTGGGGTTATAGGAGACATGGGGTTATAGGAGACCTGGGCCTATAGGAGACCTGGGGTTATAGGAGACCTGGGGTTATAGGAGACCTGGGGTTATAGGAGACCTGGGCCTATAGGAGACCTGGGGTTATAGGAGACATGGGGTTATAGGAGACCTGGGGTTAAAGGAGACCTGGGGATATAGGAGACCTGGGCCTATAGGAGACCTGGGGTTAAAGGAGACCTGGGCCTATAGGAGACCCGGGGTTAAAGGAGACCTGGGGATATAGGAGACCTGGGGTTATAGGAGACCTGGGGTTATAGGAGACCTGGGCCTATAGGAGACCTGGGGTTATAGGAGACCTGGGGTTATAGGAGACCTGGGGATATAGGAGACCTGACCAGGAAAAACTCCAAGCCTTATGTTTAGTCTCACTCTATCTAGGGACCAGAGTTTGTCCTAGTCATGTCACATGATCAGGAAAAACTCAGGGTGGTAATAACGTGACACTATTGATTACAGAGGCTGTTCCATCTTACAATCACAGACACATACAGTACAGAAACATATGATATATTATTATATATTATTATATTATTTGTATTATATTATATTTATTTATTATGCCATTATATTACAGAGACATATAGAACTAACTGTGACATGTACCGTTAACCCCAGGTATCTGCCTCTTGCGGAGACTCCTGTGTCTCCTGTGGTCGAGGGAAAGCCGGAGGGAGGGAGAACCAGGAAGTAGAGTCTGTCTGGCATCAGAGGTTGTTGCTATGGGAGACAGAGCAACGCTGCTGACAGTGGACAAAGACAGGAATAGCCGCTGTAACGTTGTCTGTTCTGTCACAGCTTTGTCAAGCCAATCTGAAGGGTCTACTGAACTGACAGCAGAAAACGTGTCCTCCTCCAAAGACGTTACACTAAGTTCTGCATCTTCTGTAGTCATTTCTTTCTGTGTCCCAAATTTCCGTATTTCACTGATGAGGGCAGTGAAGAGAGATTCCGACCCCTTAGATTCCAGAGGGGGGAATGAGGTGGGTGACTCTCCGGTGGGAAAAACAGGAATGTGGGAAGAGTCTTCCTGTAGGAGGGCTGTATCCAGGTGCAGGATTGAAGGAGTGAGTCTGGAGTCCAGTTTGGAGCGTAAGGCCCAGATCATGGTCTGGTACTTCCCCTCCAACTGACGGAGAGAGGGGTCCTCTGCCTGGAAATTACATCAGAAACAGGGTTAGAAACTGGTATAGTAAAGCACAGACTAACATATAGGCTACTGTATGGCAACAGTATAGCATAGTACACCAGTAAAGCAAACTATAATGTTGATATAGCTACTGAATATACAGTAAAATAGTACAACACAGGGTCCTCATGGGAGACGATCATATACTGTAGCAGACAGACAAAGTGACTGAAAATGACCCTATCAAACCTTTTAAAGTGTTAAAGAAGAGTTGAGTTCACTATAGCCTACCTGGAGGAAAATACTCCCTTCTTGGCTCAGTGGTTTGGAGCCGTGTGTCTGTCCTTCTGTCAGTCCCTCTGTCTGTCCATGTGTCTGTGTGTCCAGCTCCTCAGCAATGCCCCTGAGGTAGTTCTCCCAGTCAGCCACCAGGGGGCCAACCTTCTGGAACAGCCCAGGACCCATCTCCTCTGAACCTGACCGGACAGCACCCCCTACCTGTTCTTTAACAAATAATACCCCTGTTACACACATGCAGCCATGGGACACACACTTCTGTATTCATAATAACAATAATAATAATAATAATAATAATAACAATAATACTTCATAATAATAATAATACTATTACTACTAATAAAAATAATATTAATAATACTTCGTAATAATACTACTACTAATGATAATAATAATACAAATAAATACATAATAATAATAATAATAATAAATACATCATAATAATACTAATACTAATAATAATAATAATAATAATAAATACAATTAATACATGGGATTCTTATCTATAGAAACTGAGGGGGGAAAGTATGAGTGTGGGTGTTTTGACATGGTGTTGAGGAGGAATGTGGGTGGGGTAGCAGGGGTTACAGTGCTAGGATGGTAAGTAGTACAGTGGTAGGGTGGTAGGGTGGTAGGGTAGTAGGGTAGTAGGGTAGTAGTAGTCGGGTGTGTGGTGGGGGATAAGACGAATGTAGGAGAGTAACAGAGCCAGGATGGGGAGGGGATAGAAGGGGCCCAGCAGTGGGGAGCTGGTGCCGTACCTGTTCCCCGTGGAATCTCCCTCCTCTCCCTCTCCTTGGCGGTGAGGGCTGAGCTGTAGACGTGTTCCACCAGCTGAGGCAGGGTCTGGGTGAAGAAGGTCAGGTCTACCTTGTCTCTGATGTAGTCCTCTGCTCTCTGGAGAAGGTCCAGCAGGGTCTGCAGGAACGAATGCAGCTCTGAGGAGGAGAGAGGACAAATTAAGGATACATGATTAAAGTCCAGAGAAAGACATGTTTTGAGTAATCTGCAGTGAAATAGCTCATTACAATACCCAATATCCATCTGCATCACAACAATAATATCATCATTACTTATTGCTGCATACAATAGAGGTTTTATATCATTAAATGTATCATTAATTGTAACAAAAATGTATACACTCCACTTAGGGCAGTCGAGAGTTCAGGGTCCTCATGCTCACTTCAGGTTTCTTCATGATGTCATAGTAAAACAGAAAAATAGCTGTGAACGTTACGGGTCAAACACTTACGGCACTTCTTGAAGCGGCTGAGACACTTCTCCTCGGCCAGGCGGTTGCAGGCAGCAGCCCCCTGGCTTGGGGGGCAGGACTGGACGTAGAAACGACACAGAGAGCTGAACTCTGACCTCTGCTGTTCCTCCGACAGCTCGGACATCTTCAGCAGCTCAGGACATGTCGGCTCCCGGCCCCCAGAGGACACTTGGTGAACCAAGAAGAAGGGACAGTGGATATTAGAATGCTGATTAGGCAAAACAGTAGAGAAAACAGTTTTTTTTATGTCTGTTTTTATTTGGTTGAGTACAATATCACCTTTTTTTTAATCACAGGATATACATTTTCCAGATTTATGGCCAGACAACCAGAGCTAACATTTGCTATATAAACAAGTAATATGTCTATATCAATTTCTGTGTGTATGTCTATATCTATGTCTATGTGTATGTCTATATCTATGTCTATGTCTGTGTCTGTGTCTGTGTCTATATCTATGTCTATATCTATGTATATGTCTGTGTCTGTGTCTGTGTCTGTATCTATATCTATATCTATGTCTATGTCTATGTCTATGTCTGTGTCTGTGTCTGTATCTATATCTATGTCTATGTATATGTCTATATCTATGTCTATGTCTATATCTATGTCTATGTCTGTGTCTGTGTCTGTGTCTGTATCTATATCTATGTCTATGTCTATATCTATGTCTGTGTCTGTGTCTGTATCTATATCTATATCTATATCTATGTCTATGTCTATATCTATGTCTGTATCTATATATATATGTCTATGTCTATATCTATGTCTGTGTCTGTGTCTGTATCTATATCTATATCTATTTCTATATCTATATCTATGTCTATGTCTATATCTATGTATTTGTCTATGTCTATATCTATATCTATGTCTATGTCTTGTGACTGTGACAAGTATTGTGGCTATCGGTGATACTGTTAATGTGACTCACTCAGTATCTCGGCCAGTATCCAGTCAGAGAAGGCACTGACCCGTGTGTAGACCCCAGGCTTGCCCTTCTCCCCACAGCCGTCTCCCCAGGACGTGATGCCCTGCAGCTGGAAGCGACCTGACACGTGGTCCTCATAGATCAGAGGGCCTCCAGAATCCCCCTACAGGACACACACAGTATTAAAGCTATGAAGTACCAGTCTACTGTACCTAGTGTAACTCATCACAGTATAACTCATCATAGTATAACTCATCACAGTATAACTCATCACAGTATAACTCATCACAGTATAACTCATCATAGTATAACTCATCACAGTATAACTCATCACAGTATAACTCATCATAGTATAACTCATCACAGTATAACTCATCACAGTGTAACTCGTCATAGTATAACTCATCACAGTATAACTCATCACAGTATAACTCATCATAGTATAACTCATCACAGTATAACTCATCACAGTATAACTCATCATAGTATAACTCATCATAGTATAACTCATCATAGTATAACTCATCACAGTATAACTCATCATAGTATAACTCATCACAGTATAACTCATCACAGTATAACTCATCACAGTATAACTCATCACAGTATAACTCATCACAGTATAACTCATCACAGTGTAACTCATCACAGTATAACTCATCATAGAGTAACTCATCACAGTATAACTCATCACAGTATAACTCATCACAGTATAACTCATCACAGTATAACTCATCACAGTATAACTCATCACAGTATAACTCATCACAGTGTAACTCATCACAGTATAACTCATCATAGAGTAACTCATCACAGTATAACTCATCACAGTGTAACTCATCACAGTATAACTCATCACAGTATAACTCATCATAGTATAACTCATCACAGTATAACTCATCACAGTATAACTCATCACAGTGTAACTCATCACAGTATAACTCATCATAGAGTAACTCATCACAGTATAACTCATCACAGTATAACTCATCACAGTATAACTCATCATAGTATAACTCATCACAGTATAACTCATCACAGTGATAACTCATCACAGTATAACTCATCACAGTATAACTCATCACAGTGTAACTCATCACAGTATAACTCATCATAGAGTAACTCATCACAGTATAACTCATCACAGTATAACTCATCACAGTATAACTCATCACAGTATAACTCATCACAGTATAACTCATCACAGTATAACTCATCACAGTATAACTCATCATAGTATAACTCATCACAGTATAACTCATCACAGTATAACTCATCACAGTATAACTCATCACAGTATAACTCATCATAGAATAACTCATCACAGTATAACTCATCACAGTGTAACTCATCACAGTATAACTCATCACAGTATAACTCATCACAGTATAACTCATCACAGTATAACTTCACAGGAGCACAGAGCTGGATTACCTCTAAAACATGATACACTGCAAGACATGTTTTGTAGCTTCAGTCAGAAGGTTGCTGTTCCATTTAAACAAATGCAAAGCCAATCTTAAGTCTGCTAGTCCCATTACTCTGAGTACGGTATAGTATTATCCTTATCTCAGTCGGTATACACAGGATTATTATGGGATAATTCTACTACATAGGATACTGTAAGACGTAGTTTTAGTCAGGCAATTCCTGTTACATTAAAACAAATGCAAGACAATCAAAAACTCTTATTGCTCTGACAAATTTTAGGAAGTGACCTGGGTATTATTTTCCATAAACGTAATTCCAGTGGCACCTACCTGGCAGGAGTCGACGCCTCCAGAGAGGTATCCGGCACACAGCATGGTGTTGGTGACTAGCTCCTTGCCCAGGGCGCTCCTACAGGTACTCTGGGGCAGCAGGGGAACCTCAGCCTCCATCACCACATCAGCTGACGGACCATCTGGGGAGATGGACAGAAAGTAGTTGTGTAATTACATGAAACATTTCTTATCCAGAGCAACTTACAGTTAGTGCATTCATCATGAGGTAGCTAGGTGAGACAACCACATATCACAGTCATAGTAGGTGCAACCTTTTGTCAATAAAGCAGCTAACAGCAAAGTCAGTGCTAGTAAGAAAGACAAGAGTGAGTGTCAGTGCAAGAAAGGTAAGGGCGTTCATTTTTTAATGAGTGCCAAAAAGAGAGAGCGCAAGACAAGGTCATCTTCCATATGTACTGTACATATCATACTGTGTGTAATGGCTTCAAAGTTAGCCATTTCCTTCAGTCGATGCATTTGATTTTCTATACAGAATATGGCTATAACCCTGTGCACGTAAATAACCTTGCCAAAAAAGTTACTTGAGTAATAGCCAACTTTATAACAACATGTACAATATGATACTGTATATAGACAGCTGTAATATAGCTCCACACATCTTTGGTGAATTAATGGTTTAATAATGACAGCTAAATACTATACATGTCAGGTTTGGGGTTAATTCCATTTAAATTCCTGTCAATTCAGAAAGTAAACCAAATTCCAAATCCACATTTTCCTAATTAAAGAGAATTAGAATTGGAATTTCAGTGTACTTCCGGAATTGACTGGAATTGAAATGGAATTGAAATGGAATTGACCCCAACCATGCTAGATGTACCAGAGTGGTCCCTTCCCCTCACCTTCGTAGAGGGAGCCCCATCCGGCCACCAGACAGGGGCTGCCAGTTGGAGGTTCCAGACCTGATGGTAGACACACAGGGGTAACACGCTCTGACAGGACCACCGGAGAGGTCAGCTCCACCAGCGCTATGTCGTTGTTAAACGTCTTGGGGTTGAACTGCACAGAGAGGAGGGAGGATTGATTAGTTGATTGATTAATCTGATTGATTGATTGAGCCCATTGCTCTAGCCATAATTAGATCTTTGAAGAACAGGCCGTGCTATAAGACTTAAACTGTAGTATAGATGAAGGTGTGTTAACAGGCAGGACACACAAAAGATGTCTGAGAAACACCTTGGGATGGGGGATGATGCGGTTGACCTTGAGCACCTGCTCGTCAGGGTCGGTCTTGGTGATATCAAACTCCCCCACCACGGCTATCCAGTAGCTCTCACTGTGAATGCTACAGCAGGGAAACACACAGAGAGAGAGAGAGAGAGAGAGAGAGAGAGAGAGAGAGAGAGAGAGGGGGACAGACAATGAAAAAGAGAGCCCGGGGAGGAGGTGAAGATGGAGAGGAGAGAGAGAAGAGAGAGAGGGGAGGAGAAGAGAGAGAGAGAGGAGAAGGAGAGAGAGAAGAGAAAGACAGAACCATAAGGGGAGAAAGAGAGACGAAAGAGAGAGTGAAAATGAGAGAGAGAGAAAAGAGAGAGAAGAGAGGAGGAGTGAAAGAGAGAGAGAGAGAGGTAATATTTATTTATTATAAAAAAGATAGGAGAAGGGGAGAGAGGGGAGAGGGTGGGGGGGTGGGTGTAGAGAAAGAGGCCCGGGGAAAAAGAGAGGGTGGGAAAAAGAGGAAAAGCGAGGGGGAGAAGGAAGGGGGGTTTTAAAGAGGAGAGAGAGGAGGGGACAGAGAAGAGAGAGGGAAAAGAAAAGGGGGAGAGAAGAAAAGTTAAGGGGAAAGACCCTAATTTTTTAATTTTTTACCTATTGATCTTATTTCAAGAGAAGAGGCGATATAGGAGAGAGCCCGGGGAAAAAGCAGAGGGGGAGAGAAAGAGATTGGGTTTTAGTTTTTGAAATTTGAACGGGGGGGAAAAGAGGGTTTTGCAAAGGGGCTAGCGGAGGGAAAGGGGTTAAGGGTTTTAAAAAAAGCCGGTTATTCCCAGAAATTTTTCCCTTTTTAAAAACCCTTTTTAAATCGGAAAAGGTCCCCCTCCTTCTTCCCCCTTTGACAAACCCGTAAAAAAAAGGACCCACAAATACCCAAACCCCAAATCACTCACAACACACCACAAACCCATCCCCCAAAACGTGAGCACATTCCCCCACCCGGGGCGGTCCCCAAACACCCCTCCACACATCACCCCCCCGTCCACTGCAGGGTTTACCAGCCCCCGGGCCCCCCGCCAGGGGGGCTTTGGGGAAACCCCCCCGATCGAACGGGGGTTTGGGGCAAGTTTCCCCCCGATGAACCCTCTGGCCCCAAACCCCGCTGCGGGGGGAAAAGTTTTTCAAAAGTCAAGGGGGGTGTCCAAATTTTTCCCCAAATTTTTAACAGAAAACGGACTTAAACGCGAAAACCCCAAAATTTTTTTTTATTCCATTCAAACGTTTCATCAGTGTGGGCCCCCCGAAAAAAGACCCAGAATGGTCTGCATTGGGGGTTTTTCCCCCCCCCTGTGTGTGTTTTTCTGTGTGGCAGCTTCCCGGGGTTTTTATGGTGTGGGTCACCCCACCCTGTGTGTGTGTCTGTGTGGCAGGCTCCAGGTTCTACATTGTGTTGCTCACCCACCCTGTGTGTGTGTCTGTGTGGCAGGCTCCAGGTTCTGCATGGTGTTCAGGAGGCTACACTGGAGCACGCGGGCACTGCAGCTCTCTCCCATGATCCTTACACACGCCTCCTTCTCCGTGTCGCCCGGCGGGCACCACCGCCGGTAGTATCCACACGTCTGGCTCAGCGCCCAGCTCCGCTCGCCCTCCTCCGGAACCTTCTGGGCCTCGGTGATGACATCACAGCTGGGCTCGGCCAATGTGCCATCCAGAGAGGCTGCAGAGAGATGAGACCATGATAATAACCACCACTGATTAAATGGGGAAATACTATTTTCACGATACCGAAGTGACTTTTTCGTAGCAGGTTAGGAGAACTTATGCAGCAAGTTAGGAGAATTAACGTAGCAGGTTAGGAGAATTAACGTAGCAGGTTAGGAGACTGAGGTTAAGATTAGGAAAAGGGTTAGTGAAAATGCTCTCTTAACCTGCTACGAAAATCACTTTGTATCGAAGTGGCGTGAAAAGAGTGTGTCACCAGATGAAGTGGAACCATGTGTGAACACTGTGGCGTGAAAAGAGTGTGTCACCAGATGAAATGGAACCATGTGTGAACTCTGTGGCGTGAAAAGAGTGTGTCACCAGATGAAATGGAACCATGTGTGAACTCTGTGTTCTCATCTTGTGTGATTCTTATGAGAGTTATGAACTACTTTCTTTAACATTTAACTCAATCTATCTCTACTGTATCTACTTACACAAATCAGCACAACAACAGACATTAAAACACTCTTATGAGCTAGCCTTATGTTGTTATCACATGGGTCTATGTGTTTTCTACAGGGGGAGAGAGAGAGAGAGAGAGAGAGAGAGAGAGAGAGAGAGAGAGAGAGAGAGAGAGAGAGAGAGGAGAGAGAGAGAGAGAGAGAGAGAGAGAGAGAGAGAGAGATAGAGAGAGAGAGAGAGAGAGAGATAGATTATTTATATTATTATATAGATAGAGAGATATATATATATATAGAGAGAGACAGAGAGAGAGAGAGAGAGACAGAGAGGAAGAAAAAAAAAAGCTATGGATGTTTCCTTACAGCAGGGTCCGGAGCGCTGTCCGCAGTCCTGAAAGAGACAGGGTACACAGTCTCTACAGCCCGCCTCGGCCCGACTCCGCTCCGATGTGGCCAGCTCCAGAGCCGACAGAGCACTGGTCAACGCTGCCTCCAGAACCACAGTACCCCGGTCCGAAAGAGCTACAGAGAGAGAGGGAGAGATGGAGAGAAGAGAGAGACAGAGAGAGAGAGATGGAGAGAAGAGAGAGGCAGAGAGAGGGAGAAATGGAGAGAAGAGAGAGAGAGAGGGAGAAATGGAGAGAAGAGAGAGAGACAGAGAGAGTGGGAGAGATGGAGAGAAGAGAGAGAGAGAGACAGAGAGAGAGGGAGAGATGGAGAGAGAGTGGGTAAACTTTGAGAACAGTATGACCAAAAACAGTGAATATCTCTCTCAGTGCTGAAATGAACAGTAGAAAGTCAGCAATGTGACCCAGTCAGCACTCGCACACAGAGATGCACAGCTTTAAACTATTCCGAACAGTTTAGACTGCATTTACATATCCATATACTGTCACAGTATTATGAAAGGTTTACATTTCATTCAGACAACTTTCAGGCAAGTTTACATTGTATTCCCCGAGGAGACATGACTATAGGAAGCACATTCAGAGGTCAACACATGACTGACACATTCCTTGAGTGTGGAAAAGTCGGAGTAGTTGACAGCACTCTGTGTTTGTGTGTGTGTGTGTTTGTGTGTGTGTTCGTGTGTGTGTGTGTTCGTGTGTGTGTGTGTGTGTGTTCGTGTGTGTGTTTGTGTGTGTGTGTGTGTGTTCGTGTGTGTGTTCGTGTGTGGTGTGTGTGTGTGTGTGTGTGTGTGTGTGTGTGTGTTCGTGTGTGTGTGTGTGTGTGTGTGTGTGTGTGTTCGTGTGTGTGTTCGTGTGTGTGTGTGTGTGTTTGTGTGTGTGTTCGTGTGTGTGTGTGTGTGTGTGTGTGGAGCCCCCTTGTTTCTCATGCTACTCATTGAGCCTGTTGGCAGCGTGTCAGAGAGGGGAGAGAGCTCACGCTCAGCGCTGGTGAGGGCTGTGCTGACGCACTTCAATTGCGCCGCCGACCCCTCACCCCCCTCTGGGCACTCCACATCACAGGGCCGCTAGCTAACGATGACAACGCTGCTTGAAGACTTCATTTGATGGCAGAGAGGGCCGACGCATGTAGGACAGGGGACACGGGATGGCAGGACAGGACAGGGCAGGACAGGACAGGGCAGGACAGGACAGGACAGGGCAGGACAGGACAGGGCAGGACAGGACAGGGCAGGACAGGACAGGGCAGGACAGGGCAGGACAGGACAGGACAGGGCAGGACAGGGCAGGACAGGACAGGACAGGGCAGGACAGGACAGGGCAGGACAGGGCAGGACAGGACAGGACAGGACAGGGCAGGACAGGGCAGGACAGGACAGGGCAGGACAGGGCAGGACAGGGCAGGACAGGGCAGGACAGGACAGGACAGGACAGGGCAGGACAGGGCAGGACAGGGCAGGACAGGGCAGGACAGGACAGGGCAGGGGCGTCAGAAACCCTGGACTCTTGGAACCCTTGTTCCAAGCCGCTACAAACACTCAGCACCGCCTGGCCCGCAGGCATCATCATCAAGGCTTTTCTACTCTAGTGATTCATGCTTGGCAGCTATGCTGTAACTATTGTGATTCGGCTAGATTCTGTAACTGCCATGGGAAAGCTGACAACTGCTTTGTTGAGGGAAAATGTACTTGCTATACGACTGTGATATGTGGTTGTCCCACCTAGCTATCTTAAGATGAATGGACTAATTGTAAGTGGCTCTGCATAAGAGCGTCTGTTAAATGACTCAAATGTAAATGTTTAAATTGTATGTGAGCAAGGCTACCGATCCATTCTTATTATAAGCGGTATTGTAGGGATTGTAGCCCTGATTTTCTAAAGACAGAATACCAGGAATTCCTGATTCATCAGGACAACATTGCTGCTAAAATTTGGCTGGATATGTGCCTGTATGTGCAAGTTCCATTTGATTGTGATACAACTGTAAACCCTAATTCACTCACTGTTATGTAGATGTCAAGATTACATCTGCAGTGCACAGGATCAGAAGAGAAGCCTGCTTATTTTGCCACCACTCGCTCCTCCTGGAATAAATACTTACTGATCCTGCTAATTGTAAAGCTTGTGCTTTCTAATGCTGCACGGACCCACTGACTACTGGAGGCAACCAACCACCTGTTGCTTTGCAACCTACACATTAACACAACACTGCAGATCAGTTGGTAGAGCATGGTGCTCACAACGCCAACATAGTGGGTTCGATTCCCGGCACTACCCGTACGTAAGATGTATGCATTCATGACTGTAAGTCCTTTAGGATAAAAGCCTAATCTAAATGGCATATATTATTTATTATCATAATAACACTGACACCTAACTACTTAATAATGTCACTAATAACTGGAACAACATGTCATAGACACAGTAGTGTCTGTTCACTGTTATCTAATGAATGAATTAATGAATGAATTAATGAGTGAATGAATGTATGAATTCCATTTTATTTTCATGTAAAATCTCCAGTTGCCCCCCCATCCCTTATAAATTTACACATACTATAAACAAACATTACAATGATTCACAGTGATGATTCACAGTGATAATTCTTCCGGTGTTCGGTGCAGTGCGAACCTCATAAACAATGAAAGATTTTAATGGTAGGTGTATTTGAACAGTGAGAGACAGAATAACAACAACAAAATCCAGAAAAACAAATGTCAAAAATGTTATAAATGGATTTGCATTTTAATGGGGGAAATAAGTATTTGACCCCTCTGCAAAACATGACTTAATACTTGGTGGCAAAACCCTTTTTGGCAATCACAGAGGTCAGACGTTTCTTGTAGTTGGCCACCAGGTTTGCACACATCTCAGGAGGGATTTTGTCCCACTCCTCTTTGCAGATCTTCTCCAAGTCATTAAGGTTTCGAGGTTGACGTTTGGCAACTCGAACCTTGAGCTCCCTCCACAGATTTTCAATGGGATTAAGGTCTGGAGACTGGCTAGGCCACTCCAGGACCTTAATATGCTTCTTCTTGAGCCACTCCTTTGTTGCCTTGGCGTGTTTGGATCATTGTCATGCTGGAATACCCATCCACGACCCATTTTCAATGCCCTGACTGAGGGAAGGAGGTTCTCACCCAAGATTTGACGGTACATGGCCCCGTCCATCGTCCCTTTGATGCGGTGAAGTTGTTCTGTCCCCTTAGCAGAAAAAACACCCCCAAAGCATAATGTTTCCACCTCCATGTTTGACGGTGGGGATGGTGTTCTTGGGGTCATAGGCAGCATTCCTCCTCCTCCAAACACGGCGAGTTGAGTTGATGCCAAAGAGCTTGATGTTGGTCTCATCTAACCACAACACTTTCACCCAGTTCTCCTCTGAATCATTCAGATGTTCATTGGCAAACGTCAGACGGCCCTGTATATGTGCTTTCTTGAGCAGGGGGACCTTGCGGGCCCTGCAGGATTTCAGTCCTTCACGGCGTAGTGTGTTACCAATTGTTTTCTTGGTGACTATGGTCCCAGCTGCCTTGAGATCATTGACAAGATCCTCCCGTGTAGTTCTGGGCTGATTCCTCACCGTTCTCATGATCATTGCAACTCCACGAGGTGAGATCTTGCATGGAGCCCCAGGCCGAGGGAGATTGACAGGTCTTTTGTGTTTCTTCCATTTGCGAATAATCGCACCAACTGTTGTCACCTTCTCACCAAGCTGCTTGGCGATGGTCTTGTAGCCCATTCCAGCCTTGTGTAGGTCTACAATCTTGTCCCTGACATCCTTGGAGAGCTCTTTGGTCTTGGCCATGGTGGAGAGTTTGGAATCTGACTGATTGATTGCTTCTGTGGACAGGTGTCTTTTATACAGGTAACAAACTGAGATTAGGAGCACTCCCTTTAAGAGTGTGCTCCTAATCTCAGCTCGTTACCTGTATAAAAGACACCTGGGAATCAGAAATCTTTCTGATTGAGAGGGGGTCAAATACTTATTTCCCTAATTAAAATGCAAATCAATTATATAACATTTATGACATGCGTTTTTCTGGATTTTGTTGTTGTTATTCTGTCTCTCACTGTTCAAATAAACCTACCATTAAAATTATTCTCACGCCC